ATCTTCGTTTGTTGAAGGCATGTTGTGTTGTAGCTATGGTACTTGCAATATAAATTCCATACTCAATTTGTTGAGTTTTCCGAAGTTTTATTGGCTGCTCTTACATTATTTATATTGTTGTTATGGTATCCTCTGTTCGAGTTGCCACGGCCCCTTGAGATTCCTATGTAAGTGCCGCGACCATTGTTATGGGTATTGTTGTTCTAGTAGCTTTAATTGTTATTACGACCACGGAAATTAACTTCCGCCGCGCTGTGTAAAGTTATTGTAGTTAAGGACCGAGTTTTGTTGTGAGAGGCAACCCTGTGCAACTGTTTACAAATTTTGATATGGCATTATCACACATTCATAGTATTGAAGGTACCAGCTTGGATGATAAGTTTATCCTTATCGATTGTAAAATTTTTAGTTATTGCTTTTATTGCATGCTGTGTGGAATAACTTCTGGCTACCTTTAGGGGTAAGCCATCTGTTATATAAGCACCTTCTAAAGATTTTGTCATCTGCTCACCCTCCTGTGTATATTGATTGACAATGCTTCTACAGTCTCGCCTGTGACGTTGCTTTTTAATCTAGAAATGACTTCAGTTCTTGTTGTTTCACTTCCGATTAGATTTCTGGCTACACCTTTTAGCTTTGTTTTTATTAAATTCCAATTTGTTTTGTTGATTCCGGTTCATCGCCAGTTATGGAAGTGTTAAGTATAGTCGGCATTGTTATGCCTAAACCGAACTTTTTTGAATTGATATTAAATTAGATCGCAGTCTGATCAAGAATTTTGATACTTGGGACCAATGATCTCGATTTAATTTTACCCTCTGGCCATGTATTAGTATTTGTGCTTCATTAAAGCAATTGACTAGTATTTCCACATGTTTTTTAATGGTATTTTTTGAATTGGCTTGTTTTTTTTTGTGTAAGTGACTTATATGATTTATCAAAGTCAACTATTATGTTATTTATTTGCTTATAAAATTCATTCCATTCCATTGTGGAGATGAATTATTTCCCAAAAAGCCGTCATTACTATTTCTATACTTAGTATTGGGTGTTCGTCTATATAAAAATAATGTTGTATATCATAAATGATTACTGAAACTAATTGCAGTATCCTTCTATCTGTCTATCTATCTTCTGTGTATAACTGCCTTTCGTGTAAACATTTTCATAACATATTCTTTCTTTAAATAAAGTTTTCTCATTTAAAAAAATTTTTTTTTTTTTCAATAATGTCTATTTTTCTTTGCAATATGCCACTGTGTGCATGTACATATCTGTATTAATTTTTTTTAAAACTTCTTTTTATGATAATTGTTTGCGCTTTAATTTTTTTAATTTATATCTTAACCAGATCGTTAACCTGGCTTCTGTTTATGGCCCTTTTTGATATGCACTTATTGTGGTACATATAGGCTTTATAAAGAATGAATGCGCTCATAATGAAAACAATGAGATGTTAAGATGTTTGTTAAATCTGTATCGATATTTTTAGATTCTATTTTATTAATTACGTTAGCAGTGGAGTCCACTTCTTTTACATCTACTACCCCCATTTTGGGTTTTTTTTCCTAAAGTATGTCTATATACGTTTTCGTTAAAAGTGTATTTAATTTTCCTGTTAATTTGCCATCTATTTTGGCTCATAAGGAAAGAAATAGTATTTTTACATAATAACCTGCCTAGTTTTATTTATGGTTTTCAGGCTAAAGTAACTTTAACGTTGCTCAATTTTTACAAAAGTTTTTATACCCGTTACTCGTCGAGTAAAAGGGTATACTAGATTCGTTGAAAAGTATGTAACAGATAGAAGGAAGCGTTTGCGACCCTATAAAGTATATATATTCTTGATCAGGATCAATAGCGAAGTCGATTGAGCCATGTCCGTCTGTCCGTCCGTCCGTCCGTCCGTCCGTCCGTCCGTCCGTCCGTCCGTCCGTCCGTCCGTCCGTCCGTCCGTCCGTCCGTCCGTCCGTATGAACGCTGAGATCTCAGGAACTATAGCAGATACAAAGTTAAGATTAAGCATGAAGATTCTTGAGGTCCCGGGACAGCGCAAGTTTATTACAGCATCCTGCCACGCCCACTCTAACGCCCACAAATCGCCAAAAACTAAAATTGCTGAAATCTCAGGAACTATTGCAGTTAGAAAGTTGAAATTCAAAAAGTATAATCTTTAAATGGCAGCGCATCTTATAGTGGTACTATAAAATCTTCTTTTGTTAAAAAACAAAAATGCACAAATCTTAAAAACTATATGAGCTATAAAAGTTTGCTTAGAAACTAGTATTAAAGAGATCCCTCTGCAACTTTCCACGGAGTTGCATCTTGACACGCCCACTCTAACGCCCACAAACCGCGCAAAACTGTGGCGTCTATAATATTATTATGAATGCCTTCGTTTGACCTTGTATAACTTATTTCTGTTAACATCTATAGATTTACCAAAGATTTTTCAAATCGGACATTTATTTCGCTATTTATGAAGAAATTAAGGTTATAAGGCCTCACATGGGCAGTGACGTCACTATAAGCATACTCAACATACTCCCTCTGACAATAGGTGGCGCCTCGTGAATTTCCACTAGCAAAATAATATATTAAAATTTTGTAAAATAGTAACGGGTATCTTATAGTCGCGGCACTCGACTATAGCGTTTCCTCTTGTTTTTTATAAAATTTTTATAAAATAAATGAAACAAGAGGAAACGCTATAGTCGAGATCCACTATAAGATGCGCTGCCATTTAAAGATTATACTTTTTGAATTTCAACTTTCTAACTGCAATAGTTCCTGAGATTTCAGCAATTTTAGTTTTTGGCGATTTGTGGGCGTTAGAGTGGGCGTGGCAGGATGCTGTAATAAACTTGCGCTGTCCCGGGACCTCAAGAATCTTCATGCTTAATCTTAACTTTGTATCTGCTATAGTTCCTGAGATCTCAGCGTTCATACGGACGGACGGACGGACGGACGGACGGACATGGCTCAATCGACTTCGCTATTGATCCTGATTAAGAATATATATACTTTATAGGGTCGCAAACGCTTCCTTCTATCTGTTACATACTTTTCAACGAATCTAGTATACCCTTTTACTCGACGAGTAACGGGTATAAAAATATACATCGCAGTGCAATCAAAAAAATTTTTACAACGCAGTGCAATGGAAAAAAATATGCGCTCTTGGAAGCGCTGTCGGTTCTCTGATTCTTGGTCCCACTTGGTGCGTAAGACGGCAATGGTGCTGGCTGCACAGGCTATACCTCTACGGTGGGGCACCGGTGATGGCTGCAAAGGTTGTTACTTTTTTTTTGGTGGGAGCACCGGTGCTGGCTGCACTCGCAATGGGGTGAACACAGTGGTCCCTCGCAGTCATCCGGGCATGTCTTCTTCAATTTTGGTATAATTTTCTGTGGTGGAGGCAAGATGTTTTTTATTACAGGGTAGGTGGATGTGTGTGCGGCTGTGATTTGTTTTTTTCGTACTGTTAGCAAATTTTTTATGTGTTCGACTTCGGCATGTATTTTTACCGAGTCGTTCCAACTTATTGCATTGCCGCTGTTCAGCAGCTTCAGTAATTCAGCTTTTCTGGCTTTGAACCGCTTCACTACATCACTACGCTTAGCACACATCACACTATACTCACTGCGTTTCTTCTTTGTTTCTGCCGTTGTTGCTGTGGTTTCCGAGGTCGCCGTTATTGTTGTGGTTGCCTTTATTGCTGTTGCTGCTATTTGATTGTTGTTGCCATTTTTTGTTGTTGTTGCCGTTGTTGTTGCCGTTATTGTTGTGGTTGCTGTTATTGCTATTTCATTGTGGTTGCCGTTGTTGCATCCTGATTCCAGGTCCAGATCCAGGTCCTTTCCTTTCCAGTTGTTTCTGAGTTATACATTTTGCTTGGGTTCTAAGTAAGCCTACGTCTCGTAGCTGCGCTGCCCACAGTTGAGAGAGAATCCTTTTCATTACAGCCACCTTGCTTACAATATAATCTTCTTCATTTTCGGAACTAGCCTAGATAGCCTTTAGTGGGATTCTAACATTTGCAATCTGCACTCCGCAGTGCTGGCATCGATGACAGTTGCAGCCAAAGCTCGTTCTTTGCTGATCTTAAAATTGTGTTCCAGCACGGCGCGCTTGCGCCTGAGGCACACCAGTTGTTTCTCTACTGGCGGTTTGGCCTTTTATTTTTCAAAGAATTCTGGTTTATAATGACTTTTTGTGGTTGGGCTGTTTCTACAACTGTGTAGCTACCCGATGTGAGGTTATGTTCATCCAATTAATGTCCAATCTGCAGAGGTTCTGCTGTCGACGGATCCTCGTGATCCTCCAATTTCAGTTCAATCCAAGACTGCAGGTGTCCTGTCACGGTCGCCAAATGTATGATCTTGCCTGAGTGCAACCCGATAGTGAAGGCAACCTGCCGCAGGTCCAAAATTCGCTAGTTATGCGAGTGTGGGTATCCGTTGATGTGTGCAGTGCCACCTCTTAAATACGCGTTCTTCAGTACAACTTTCTAGAACTTATAGTTTCCGCATTTCCTGCATTTATGGAGTTTCGGGTTTTGTAAGAATTAGGTGAGCGTGCCTAGCTGGGTGTGGTCAAATAATGGTACCACCATAAGATGCACTGGCAACTTTTCAACTCTCTAGTTCTCATAATTCTTGAGATTTCAGGGATTTTAGTTTTTTGTGTCTTGTAGGCGTAACCTTTATAGGATCGGAAAAGCTTTCTTCTACCTTTTACATACTTTTCAACGAATCTAATATACCCTCCCACTCTACAAGTAATGGATATGAAAATGTTTCTTTGTGACAAAAGGGTGCGCTGGGTCAATTTCAACTACAAAAATATTTATTTTGAAATTGAATAACACAGTAACGGGTATAGTTGTGGCTCTTGACCATAGCGTTTCTTTTTGCTTTTTAGTTTTAGAAAAATTTTTAGATTTTATATGATAGTAGAATAAAAATAAAATTTCATCTTAATAGATTATAATTATTTATATTTACATTAGTCAATGAATAATAATGGCATCTACTAAAAACGAGTTGGTGACAATGTGGAGCACTTGCCTTTTATTTTTTTCATTTTGTTTTATGACCTGCAATGGTCACGGGAGACTGATTGACCCGCCAGGTAGAGCGTCAGCGTGGCGCTTTGGATTTAAGACTCCACCGGACTATAATGATCATGAACTATACTGTGGGGGCTTTACCCGACAGTGGAAAAGAAATGGAGGTAAATGTGGAGAATGCGGAGACGCTTGGGATATTCCGGAACCGCGACCCCATGAATTTGGAGGCCAATGGGGACAAGGCTTAATTGTGCGGAGTTATGAGCCTGGATCCAATATGACAATTCGTGTAGAGTTGACTGCAAGTCATATGGGGTAAATCGAATATCTTTACAAAGCTGCTAACAATTCAAAAATAAATTTAATTTCCAGATATTTTGAGTTTCGTCTTTGTCCAAATCGAATCGCAAAACAGTCATGCTTTGATCAAAATTTATTGCGAATAATTGATGGCTTTCCTTCTCAACCAATTTCTTCAGACCTAGATATTCGCTTTTACCCACGAAACGGCAGTCGAATATATGAAATTCAGGCACGATTACCTGGTAACATTTTTTTTACATAAATCCAATTTATGTTTCCATATTTATGTTTCAGAACTTACATGTGACCAATGTGTTCTTCAATGGCGGTATGTTGCGGGAAATAATTGGGGCATATGTAGCGATGGTAATGAAGCCATTGGATGTGGCCCACAAGAAGAATTTCGTTCGTGTTCAGATATTTCCTTGACTTCAGACTGGCGTATTCCTAAAAGACCTCTGAACTTAAGGCCTACACCACCTAGTAAAATACCTACGGCCACAATACAGAATAAAACATTTAAGAACTCTTTAGTTTTTGTAGTAGTAGTGATTTTGTTTTTTTTTTTGTGTGCTTTAATACGATACACATTCATAATAAATAATGAATGTTGTACTAAAAATAGTATTACAAAGTTTAAGAAATATGTCTTAATTTGGAATTCAACTTAAAAATCATTACTTGAATGCAACATGTTTCAAATAAATTACAATCCTAAAGATTTTAAATTATGTAACCACCAATTTGTCTTCCGCGATCTATTGTATAAAGTACAATTTTGAAAAAGAAACATTCATATTTTAATAGCATTAAAAATATTAACATTTTCTTATTTTAACCTGTTCGTATAAATGCCATTTGCTAATATTTGTTTTGTTCGTCAACAACTAATTATGAAAAAGAAGCCAACGGGGATTAAAGCTTTTATCTGCCCGAGTTTAAGGTGTAAAGAGCCATTATCAGAGCAGCTGTCTTCGGCTTGGTAATAATCTGCCAGTACGCAAAAGATTCTGTGCAACTGTACGCCTAATGTTATGCCAGCATAACCGCTTATCCGTATTGTCTTGGATAAGTGAACCATCATTAAACCGTGCAGATTCGCTGCCTCGAGGTTGTTCTCCAAATGAGCTCCTAAACTCAAAACCATGAAAAAAATTCCACAACCAATATTTAAATGCCATTTGGACAGCATCACTGATAAGAATCAGGGCATGATAATGCTCAGGGAAAATGGCGTGGTTATTGTACCACTTGGTATATTCCCATTACTTGAATTATTTGTAGACAGAGTAATAGGAAGGAAACAAGAAACCCGAAAAACTTATGAAATCACGACATAAACTTATGTTTCTTTCTTTCCATAGAAATAGGAGGTAAAATCTCCATGTCCTTTATCGAACTGCTCTGAGGTGTTGAACACTTAAGGTGCCTAAAGAATCAAATCTAATTATTCATGTTTTCAATAGCGTTATAATTCAATAAATTTCAGAATACAGATATACATCGAAATTAAGTTAAAGATTATATATAATAAGCGAAACAAAGTCAGAATCATTCTTCGATATTTAAAATTAATAACGTAAATGCTGTGCCCTTTTGTGCGGGCTGGCTTCTTATAAATGTTTATGTCGGCTATGCCGTACTTACTACCGAGTCCCTCGACGTCGACGGGCCCGATGACTTCACGGTGTCGTTGGCGGGTGAAAAATTATTAGCTATATGAAAAGCCAAACTCGTCAGAGACACATGAAAAAAATATATAAGTAGGAATTAGCTTTTAACTAAAAAATATATATATAAAATATAATAGAATATATGAAAATAACTGGATGCTGCAGAGCCATTTAGGGCTCCGCCGATGCTGGTGGAAGTCCTAGGGGCAGATCCAGTAAAGAAACGTTCCTCCGCCCGATTTATTTCAAGCCTTCCAAAAGAAGTATGAAGGCAAACGTTCAGGGACCAACAACCGTGGCCAGCCAGATGGCGAGGGAGGGGGGGGGGGGGAGCGGTAAAAGATAACTTAATTGTTAGTCGCTGCCGCCGCCACTTGTTTTGGTTTTCGCTGCCTCTCAATAAAAGGGTGTCGCTGGAAGCTTTAATTAGAGATGTCATCCAAATAAAAGCTGAAAAAGGGTGTAACGTTTAGGCTTTCCAAACAGCTTTTATATAAAAGTTTCCCAGTTCCTTACCATTTAGATCTTCTAATTTATATATGGTTTGGCCGCAAAGTCGAGACTTGATTTCGCGAAATGCTGCCTCAGCATCCTCATTCCACACGAATGGTTTCTTTCCTAACAGTTCTGTAAGTGAAAGATCACTGTGGAATACTGCGCTATGAATCGCTGATACCAGCCCGTCATTCCTAAAAACCTTCGAAGTTGTCGTTGGGTTTTCGGAACACGAAACTCGGCTACCCCTCAAACCTTGTCGGGATTGATTTGTAGGGTTCCTTCTCCAACAATATATCCAAGATAATCGACCTTTTTCAAGCAAAATTGGCTTTTGGATACATTTATAGTCACCCCGCTTTTTGTAGCTGAGTCGCTACCTCGGCAGGACAAGACTAACAAGTCATCCATATTGCATAATAATTCTTCTCTTGCCGGAGACAAGGGATAAAATCTCTGCTTTATAGGTTTGGCATTTGACGTATCGATTGAATGTTCGACTAATCGCGTTTTTCCCAGTCCATCTTTTTCAAAGGACCGGAAAAGATAAATAATGGATTGCAATCTCGATGCTTCCGAATTACTGAGGTTTATTTTGTCAAAATGTTCTAATTTATCAGCTTTTAGTTCGTTAATGTTACCTGTAAGCAAAATCGAAATTCCAAAAGTGTTCCAGAAATCCATACTACATATAACGTTCTGGTTAATCGATGGAACGATTAAAAACTCTACAACTTTCTGCATGGAGTTAAATGTAACGTGTGTGGGAAATATTCCGGTGACGTTTTGTGTTTGGCCATCGTCGGTTTTAACCAGTCCTTAATATTAATATTATTAATTAGCCTTTGTGCCTAAAGAGGTGTTAATGTTACCTGTAAGCAAAATCGAAATTCCAAAAGTGTTCCAGAAATCCATACTACATATAACGTTCTGGTTAATCGATGGAACGATTAAAAACTCTACAACTTTCTGCATGGAGTTAAATGTAACGTTTGTGGGAAATATTCCGGTGACGTTTTGTGTTTGGCCATCGTCGGTTTTAACCAGTCCTTAATATTAATATTATTAATGGGCCTTTGTGCCTAAAGAGGTGCTTTGCTAAATCTCCTCCTATCACACTTTTGTTAGCTCTGCTATCTAGAAGTTCTAGTTGTGATTCTCCTAATATTTTAATGTACGAAAAGGGTCTTATTTCATTGTTTTTGTGAATTAATGCTGAAATTGTGAACTTCTTTAGAAAATTTTGATTCTGGTAATAAGATCGCATACGCTCTGCTGAACGTGTGCGGTAGTGATCGGCCTTGGATTGCTCGATAATTTCTTTTGGCTCATTTTGAACTCCGATATTGTAGGGTGTGAAATCTAAGAAACTATTGGGGAATGATACGACTGGCTTACAAAACCCTTTTGGATCTGAATCTAGTTGGGGACATTCGACTGGGGAAGACGAACATCCCGAGTTAAGTTTTCCGAGGAGGGTGAGCATTTTTGACAGCTAGGTCGGTAGGTGTTAGGTGCTCCGCATCCATAACAAAAAATGCGTCGGCTTTTCAGACAGTCTTGGTATCTATGTCCTGTCTTATCGCAGTTCCAATACTTAACCTTATAGGGGGTGCGAACGGCAGATATATCTCTTCTGGCGCTTCATCCTCTGGATTTTCTATCATTTCTTCCTCATACTGTACAATGTTAACAACATTTCTGGGATTCGGGGGGAATTTTGGTCTTGATCTGAAACCCCTAATGAACTCTTCATACCTATGTCATTCCCTTCGTAAAGCGGCGAGACTCGGAGGGGACACATGAAGAAGCTCATGCTTCAAATCGGATCGTAAATTGTATCTAACTTCAGTGGTTATTTAGGAGTCAGATGAAGGTTCTCTTAAGGCATCCGCAATGTTAAGCATCGCATCTAAAAACTCGTCAAATGATTCATTACTACCTTGCTTTTGTCTACGTAAAGCGTCTTTGATGTCTCTGTCAGTCTGCTGATCTTGGTATCTGTCTTTCAGGCGATCGCACAAACTGAACCATGTCATCGCATCCGAGTTTCGATGTACACGCCAATAGAATGTTAGTGCTGGAAACGTAAATAGCAGGTTTGCAAAATGATATAACAAGTCAAAGTTTCTACTAAGGCGTTGCGATGTCAAACAGTTGACTCTGTAAATGAAATCTTCGATGGGCATATCGTTGTTTGATCCACTAAATTTCAAGTGCCAATTGGATATGACTCCGGAAACTCTATCAGGTCTTTCTACTGAGTAATCGTTTCTATTAGATGGATTGTTAGTAGGGTTATTTCTTTGGATATTGTCCCTAAAGTTACTCATACGAGGTAATAAGTGAGGTAATTCATTTTCCCATTCTAGCTGAGGCTCGGCACGAGCGTCTTGCCCATGTCATGCCAGATTTATATTAGCTAGAGATGCACTAATCTTATCTGAAATTGTTTCAACTAAGCTTGCCCTAATGTTATCTACGGTGTTAGCTATAATCTGTTGAATACGCTCTTCAGATATGGCTTGGCAGTAGCCGCTGCGCCCTGCCGTTCTGATTCGCGGTTTGGAGTAATATTCGGCTGAGGCCTTGGTGGATTAGAGGGGTTTTGAGCGTTCCTAGTACTGTTCCTAGTGGAGAGTCGATTGCGGGGTATTGCCCCAGTCCTTGAGCTGCCTGCAACTGCTGTGCTTGGTGCCTGGGTTTCCGATTCAATGGGTACGGATACTTGATTCATTATTTGTGATCGAATGCAGCGCTGTCGGCACAAGGGACAGGTCTAGTCAAGTTAACAAGCACTCTTTATAAAATGTATGTCCACAATGTGTGGTTAGTAGTTCCGCCTCAGTATTGATTAAATTACAAATGGTACAAAAGAAACCCTCGTTGGCTGGTCCTCTGGCTGTGAGGTGTTCAACGCTTCGCCTTACAGACATATTGTGAAGGTAAATATTTCGAATATTTAATTCAAATATTTATATAATTAATTTATAGTTATTATTTATTTATTTATTTTATGGAAGAATGTAGTTCCCTTACTAAATGTAATTTGTTTTTATAAAAGTTTGTTAAATAAAGGTACACGTATATTGTTTGTTAGGACTTATCCTTAAGTATCCTCACCTCAGAGTGTTCTGTTTTTAAGTTTATGGCGTAAATCTGACTTATATAGAAACTTAAATGAGTTCAAATCATCGTAAAAGAGGATCAAGCCGCACTAAATAATCTAGCATGAACATCTCAGTTTTACGAAGATTTAATTCTATATTCAACTGTTTCTTGGTGGTGTGCAGTCTGCTCTTTGGCAAACGCTACATTCCAATCGGATCCAAATTTAATTATTTATCCAATTATTTCTTACAGCTGTCCGTTGATCCAGCCGACTTTACTTCGTTTTTGAGGGTTTGGATCGTTTCCCGGTTTTGTCTGTTCATCCTCTGAAGCATTGGCATACTAAGCACGTGGTTGTGCCCGATAATATTTAGCAGGGGGGAGGCCGCCACGCCCCCAGTCTTTCTTACCCTTTCGCGCCGGTTCAAGTATTTTGTTCTGTTTACAAAGGCTAGTCGCTCAAATGTTATTAGATGCGTGCCATTTGTTTCTATATTGGGGCCGTCATCCGTGCTGACTATTGCCGGAAACTCATTGACTATCATTATACCGTCGTCTACCAGCGTTATGGGGCTTAGGTGGCTGATCTGCGTTTCGCAATGCGCCATGACCCCTGCGTGTAGACCTCGGGCGCAAGTGTCCTGGGTCGGACTGAAGGGCTTTAATATTAGATGCCTCTATTAGGCTGATAACGGGGACCTC